GGAGACGATAGAACTTATAGAATTTCCAACTTAACTATATGAATGAGTGTAGTTAAGTGATATAATAGATAGGCACTGAACTTTTACTTAATACGAGTTTATGTAACATTATCAGGAATAAAACGGAAAATTATATGAATTACCGGTATCTTTCAGACAATGTTAGATATTATACGATCGGGAGTTAATTTATAAAAAGCTAAAATTGAGGGCTTAACGCTATAAGGGTCCTTAAGAACAATATGTATTATCAGTGACGAGTTATAGCTTCGTGGGAACCAGGAGAATTTGAATTTGGAGGCCATGTAGATATTTTTCTTCGGGAAATTTTTTTGTTATAAAATATTGATTTGATGGAGGTCTTAAGCAATTTCTCTTTTAGCCCATAGAATAATGTGTATTATCTATTAATTTTCGGTTAAAATCGTATAGAATCGATGTAATAAAGTAAAAAAATACATGGGCCATCTAGGAATGCCCCGGGATAACTTTCTATAGAAAACTAGTGTTAGAAAATCCAGCAAAACTCCGTATGCAGCCCATTGGTGAGGCGTGAATCAATTCGATGGTTTTATCAACTCGGCTACTATTATATATGCAACATTTCTTTACTATCTAACGAGAGAAGTATCGATGTTAAAACATAATTTTGGTCCTGTCCTGTTATTATTTCGTAGGAGAGGAGATATACTGTATAACAGCTTAAAACCAAACGAAGTTTAAATCCCGTTCTAGTATAGCTACTCGAATATAAACTATAAAAAGACTATAAAATAAAACTGAAAAATGTCTTTTTACTTATTTCAGTTAACTTGTCTTAACATAATAAAGCTAGATTTAACAATCTAAAATTTTTAAATTAAAGTCAAAATTTTAATGAAATTATGTCAGTAAAATTGACAGTTTTAATTATGCACTTGACAAATTTTTTTATCTGTAAAATTAAAAAAAAATCGGATGCTTGACAGTATGCATAATTAATTAAATTTAAACAGAAAAAAAATATGTCATTATATTATTTGTTACACAATTAGTGATGAAAAAATGAATCTGTAAATAAAATAATCTAAATACAGATTCACATTATATTGAAAAAATAAAAATATGACGTCAGATTTGAGTTGATATATCTTCTGAGATTTCATAAACACGATTTGAATATTTTCAGTTGATATTTTTGAACTTTGTAGCTTATGTAGTACTAGAATTATCAATCATAGCTAAAATATGGTTCAATATAAGAAACAATTTCGATTTGTTTTGACAGGAAGACATCATACTTATTTTATATTACTGTACTTTAATATTCGAAACAGAACTAAAGTTTTATATAATAGTGTTTCAGATCGTGTTACATACTGTCAAATAGGGTAGTGTGGAGACAGTTGTGTGGTTTATTTGAAATATTTTTGAACATTTAACTTTTTATACGTTATTATATTAAAATATAGGCCTATAATGAGTTTTATTTATTAATAATTATAGACAACTGCTATAATTTTATGAATCTTTATGCTAGATTTTCTATACTTTTATTCTGTATATTTAAATTACAGTCGATCCCCCTATAAGATCATTGATTTTTCTGTTTTATCTGAATTACATGTTGTACGAGTCACTTAGATTTTACAAATATGTGAGCCGTTCACAGCCCGGCACACGTATTTGTAAAATCTAAGTGACTCGTACAACATGTAATTCAGATAAAACGGAAAAATCAATGATCTTATAGGGGGGTCGACTGTAT